ATAATTAACATACCATACAATTCACCTATTCTAAGTGCACAGTTCAGTGTTTTTAGTATATTCATAGGGTTGTGCCACCACCATCACAATCAATTTTGGAACATTTCCATCACCCCCAAAAGAAACCCTGTATCCATTAGCAGTCCCTTTACATTTCCCCTCTCCCTCCCAGCTCCTGGCAACCACGAATCTGCTTTCTGTCTCTCTGAGCTTGCCAATTCTAGACAATTCATATAAATGGAATCCTACCATACGTGGTCTTTTGTTTCTGGCTTCTTTCTCTTAACATAATGTTCTCAAGCATTATCCATGTTGTAGCACAGATCAATATTTCATTCTTTTTTATGGCCGAATAATTTTTCATGGTCTGGACCTACCATATTTGGCTTATCCATTCATCTGCTGATGGACATTTGGGCTCTTTTTAGCTTTTTGGCTATTATGGATAATGTTGCTGGGAACATTCGGGTACAAGTTTTTGTGTGGGCATGTGTCTTCATTTCTTGCAAACCTGGCCCTCTTGCAGTGTGAATTCCATCACTGTTCCTGGCTCTCCCCTTGCACAAACCAGACGCCTGGGGGGTTCCCTGACTCCAGTACCTCAGCTTTCTTCACACCTGATTCATTTTCTCTCACAACATCATTCCCCCTGGTAGTGGACATCACATTTGATGCTTTGCTGTCAGCTCTCCAAGGACAAGGATCTCTGTGTGTTTTGTTCACGTCTGTCTCCTCAGATCCTAGAACAGCTGTACACATCAGGTGCTCAATAAATGTTGACTTGATGAATGAACAAAGTATCGACGTGGAGATTGTGGGGTTGTTACTGCAGCATAACCCAGCTCACCCTGGCTGCAACACTGGTCTTTCCTTATATCGGTGTGTGACCTTGGGATAGTCACTTCATCTCTCTGAGCCTCAATTTCTCCATCTGCAAAATGGGGAGATAATAGTCCCAGCCTCCCAAGGCTATTCTGAGAACTCAAGAAACTCAAACTGTAAAGGCACGAAGGCCTGGCTTATTCACTGGAGCTGCTATTATAATTATAATTAATTCTGGTTTTGCAATGATAAAGAAAAAAGACCCTTTTGGTACCCTATTTCCTGAGACCCTGTACTAGTCTTCTAGGGCTACTATAGCAAACACCACAGACTTGGTAATGAAACAACAGACATTTATTTTCTCACAGCGCTGAAGGCCGGCGGTCCAAGGTCCAGGTGTCAGCAGGGTTGGTTTCTCCTGAGGCCTGTCTCCTTGGCTTGCAGACAGCCACCTCCTTGTTGTGTCCTCTCATGACCTTTTCTCCATGCATGTAGATCCCTAAAGTCTCTTTCTCTTCTTCTTCTTCTTCTTTTTTTTTAAAGATTTTATTGGGGAATTGTGGGGGATGGGAACAGCGTTGGGGAATCGGGGAAGGGGAACAGACAAGTTGCTGTCCTTTGTTCTTCAGTCTAGCTGTGGAGGACGTCATTTCACTGGCCCGTGTTGGTATTATCATTGCGCTCTCCCCGGGTGAGGCAGATCGGTCACCGGCTTCTGGACGGCTGCTCACGGTGGCTGCTGGCCGCTGGCTACACATGGTAGCCCATGGCAACCCACTGTAGCAGGGGCTGCAGCCTATGCCGTCGCCCGCGACTCATGGCAGCCCAGCTCCAGGTTGAGCTGTTGTTCAGCATCTTAGCTGTGGAGGGCAGTGTCACTGGCCCTCATATGTGGGATCCGAACCGGGGCCCGATGGTGTCCCAAGCCAGCTCTTAACCAACGCGCCACTCTGCCGGCCCTCTTTCTCTTCTTATAAGGATATCAGTCCTATTTGATTAGGGCCCCATCCCATGACCTCATTTAACCTTAATGATCTCTTTAAAGGTTTTATCTCCAAATACAGTCGCACTGGGGGACAAGGCTGGAACATACACATTTGGAAGGACATGATTCAGTCTATAACAGCAGGTATGAAGTGAGCTGCAAGGCAGGCAGTAAGTCTCAGAGAGTTTACTCTTGGAAACGCTGCCATCTTAGAGCAAGGTGTGTGTGTATTCGTTGGGATTCAGAAGGAGCTAGGTGTAATAGAATCCCTAAGTAATGGGAGTTTCAATAAGAGAAGAGTCTTTCTCTCTCACGTAACTAGCTAACCTGGCATGGTAGCTCTGTCCACATTGTTGTCCGGGTTCAGACTCTCTCTCCCTGGGCTCTGCACTGTCCTTGTCCACATGATCCCTGGTGGCAATTACCACCACATCTTTTCTCCAGCCTAAGTGAACAACGAGAAAGGGGGATCCTCTCCCTTGGTGGGCATGACCTGAGGATTGTGTATATCACCTCTGCTCACATTCCATTAGCTTGGAATTAGTCACATGGCCACAACTAGCTGCAAGGGAAGCTGGGAAATGTAGTTTTTATGCTCACCAGCCATACGCTTAGTTAAAAACCCTATTACTGAAGAAAGGAGAGAACAAACATTGGGGTTTGACAAGCCGTTGCTGGTATAGAGGAGAGGAAGCAGGCACGTGTGTTCTCCTCGTCTGAGGCCAGTTTTGAACAGGGTCCTCCCATACCCTGAACTCTAGCAACCAGAGTTGGGCTCAGCCCTGCCCATGTGGCTGACCTGGTTGACCTTCTCAGTAAGCAGAAAGTCAAAGGCCCAGGCATTGAGTGTCCTAAGAAGTCTGGGGATGAGAGTCCTTCAAGGGAGTATTAGCAGGCTGGGCCACAGGAAGTGCAACTTCCCTTCCTGTGAATTCTTCCTCATCCTCTATATTAGTTCCCTGATGTTGCTATTATAACTTCCCACAAATTTAATGGCTTAAAACAATAGGAATTTATCCTCTTACAGCTCTGGAGCAGAAGTCCAAAATGGGTCCCACTGAGCCAAAAATCAAGGCATCGGCAGGGCTGTGTTTCTTTCTGGAGGTTCTAGGGGAGAATCTGTTTTCTTGCCTTTTCCAACTTTCGAGTCTTCTGCTCATGGCATTTTCTCATCTCCAAAGCCAGCAAGGGCCGGTGGAGTCTTTCTCACATCAAGTCACTCTGACTCTGTGTGCTACCTTGGCTTCTGGCCTCTCTCTCCATCTTCAAAGTGTGTCACTCTAATCTCTGCTTCCTTCGTTGTCACAGCTGCTTCTCAGACTCTCATTCCTCCTGTGACCCTCTTATAAAGATCCTTGTGATTACATTTAGGGCCTAGTGGGTAATCCAGGATAATGTCCCCATCTCAGGATCATTAACTTAACACAAAGCAAAGTCCCTTTTGCCAAATAAGGTAACATTCATACGGGATTAAGACATACAAGATCTGACAATTAAGTTCCTGAACTTGTTGCTAACCTTTTTTGATATCAGAGAGATTATTCATTATGAATTTGTACCAACTACCAAACAGTTAACCAAGTTTACTATTTGGAAGTGCTGAAAAGGCTGCGTGAAAAAGTTAGACGACCTGAACTTTTCACCAACAATTCATGGCTCTTGCATCACAACAATGCACCAGCTCACACGGCACTGTCTGTGAGGGAGTTTTTAGCCAGTAAACAGATAACTATTGGAATTCCCTCTCTACTCACCTGATCTGGCCCCCAATGACTTCTTTCTTTACCCGAAGATAAAGAAAATATTGAAAGGAAGACATTTTGATGATATTTAGGACATCAAGAATAATATGATGACAGCTCTGATGGCCATTCCAGAAAAAGAGTTCCAAAATTGCTTTGAGGGGTGGACTGAGCACGCTGGCATAGGTGCATAGCTTCTCAAGGGGAGTACTTCGAAGGTGATCATAGTGATATTCAGCAATGAGGTATGTAGCACTTTTTCTAGGATGAGTTCGCGATCTTAATTGTCTGATCTCATAGATATCTTTGAGGAGCCATTATTCAGCCTACTACCCAGTCTTTTTTTTTTTTTTCAGCTCCCAGAGCAAAAGTCACAGTCTTTGTAGTATCTTACATGGCCTTGCTCACTCGCCACTCCCCATCTCCCTGACTTCACCTCCTACTCTTTCTCCAGTTCTTCTTCTGCTCCCACCACCCTAGCCTACTTGCTGCTCCTTGAACACACTGGCGTGCACCTACCTCAGGACCTTTGCACTTGCCATTCCCTCTACCTTGGATGCTCTCCCTCCAGATCCCCACATGGCTCCCTTCCTTTCCTCCTTCAGGTCTTTGCTCATTGTTACCTTCCAGGTGAAAAGCTCCCCAACCACCTTCCTCTCTTTATTTTCCCCCAGTGCACTTATCACCATCCGACATCCAATGGTAACATATGTTATTTTGTTTCCTGACTCTCTCCCCCGCCAGAGTGTCCCTCTAGGAGAGCAGGAGTTTTTGTCTGCTTTGTTCCCTGCCAAAGCTACAGGATCTAGAACTGTGCATGGCACACACTCTATTCATTGCTGAACGAATGAATAAATTAAGGGCCAGACTGGACCCACATTTGGGGGGGGGTAGAGAAGGGGGTCCTGCTCTGAAGGACTTGGTGAGAGTCAGGGTTGGGGGCAACAAGAAGAAGTTGGCCACAGGTTCTGAGAGACTTTTTTTTATTGTTTCAGGTGTACAAAACAATGTAATAGACATTTACACCCCTCACAAAGTGATAACCCTCTCTCCCAATCTAGTACCCCTCTGACATTGTATATAACTGTTGCAATGCCATTCTATTCCCTATGCTGTATTCCACATCCCGTAACTACTATATATATATATATATATATACATATATATATATATATATATATACACATTATATATAATGTATAGATATATACATTAAATTACAGTTGACAGTCAATATTATTCAGCTTCAGCTTCAGGTGTACAGTGCACTTGCCATGGACGGTCTATATCGTCCATGAAGTGGTCTCCCTAACAAGACATGTGCCCATCTGACACCCTACAAAATCTTTACAACATTATTGATTATATTCCCCAAACTGTCTTTCATATCCCCTTGGCAACATTGTGGCTACCAATTTGTGCTGTCTAATCCCCTCACCTTCTCTCTCATCCCTACCACTCTCCCATCTAGCAACCCTCAGTTTTTTTCTCTCTATATCTCTGAGACTATTTCTGTTTATTTGGCTGAGACACTGAATTTTGAGAGGTGCTGGATCTGCCTGAGCAAGGAAGCGGTCCGGCCGCCATGGCTACTGACCAGGACTGTCCTCTGAGGCCAGAGGCCCTGTACAACCAGCCCTCCCTGCCACATGCCTTGTCCTCTGGGGCATGTGTGGTAGGGGGCTGCCTTGTCCCCAGGGGAACGGGCTCTGAAGGCAACCAGGGAACAGGGGTGGAGTACTATGGGCCAACAGTCAGTCGGGAGCTCAGCCAAGTGGGCACCTGTGAGGTCTGGCTGAAGGCCGGCCTGAGAACACCTTCTTCACCCTCAAATATCTCAAGGGAGGAGGAGGGGGCAGGCACGTGTTTTCCCCAGGCACGTGGCTCAGATCAGGTTGCTGGAAGGATGAGACTAAAGGCTGGTGGTACACTCAGAGGGTGAGTGAGGACCTGGGCCTGTCACTGTCTCCTGTCCCCCACCTAGGACACCTGCCCGACGCCATGCTGTGTCTTCAGCAGAATTCACCTCATCGGCCCCACATCTCCGATGGCCTGGTCCTGCTGGGTCTCTGGTGTGGCTTGTCTGCAGGTGTGAGGACCCCAGGGGAGGCCTGGGGCTTTCCCTCTCCCCACTGGCTTGGCGGGGGACCTCTTCAGGGGGTTTGCACCAGCTGGCAGTAAGGGGAAGGGTCGGGGTTCAGCAGGTCCTGGCGGGGAGGAGAAAGAGACAGAGGGATTGTTATTGGGGGGAGGTGAGAGTCAGGGTGAGGGGGAGACAGAGGAACCAGGTAGAGACTGAGAAACACGGAGGGAAACACACACACACAGAATGAAAGACAGAGATGGAAAGAGACATAGAGGTCCTGGAAAAGCCAGAAAAGGGGGCAGACACAGAGTGACAAAGATGAAGAAACAGGAGAGACAGAAACGTAGAAAAAGAGAGAGGATGAGGAGACAGAGGAACAAAGAGAGAGAAGGAGATCCAAAATTAAGGAGGGAAAGATAAAAGGACACAGAGAGAGAGAGAGAAAAGAGAGGGAGGGCAGAGTAGACAGACATACACAGAGATATGTAGACAGACAGCCAGGAGCAGACAGGAGAGGACAGAGAGGGACTGAGACCAGGCCCAGGAATGTGTCCTGACTCGCTGTGTGACCCTGGGCAAGGCCCTTCCCCTCTCTGGGCTTCATTTCCTCCTGTGCAAATTCAAGGCCTTGGATCCCTTTTACAAGGAGGAAACTACAACCCCAACCCCAGGAGGGGAAAGGACTTGCCCAGGGTCTCTCAGCTGCAAGGAGTTGATGGTGAGGACGGCCGGCTCCTTCCCAGTGGTCATGCCCCCTGCCCCCCCGGGTCCATGGGGTCCCCGCCACCCCTCCCACCTCCCAGCTCCACACCTGGTAGTGGTTCTCTGGCTCTGGCTGTGGGGGCGGGGCCAAGGTTGGGGCCTGCAAGGGAAGAACACAGGTGAACCAGGGCCCTGGCACTCCAACACCCTCCAACCTTTGCCTTTCGGTGTTAGGACAGACCCGATTCCAAGTCCTCATCGCCCCTCCCTGACTGTGAGGCCCTAGATAAAGGGTACAACTTGCCTGCACCTCAGTGTTCACCTCTGAGAAATGGACCCAAGGGCACCGCTTCACGGGAGGCGCCTTCAGTAGCCTGACCATCGCCCCATTAACGCTCAGCCTCCCCGTCAACACCTGTGATTCTAAGTTTTTAGTCTTAGCTTCTTAAGTTTCTCTTCTTATTTCAGTCTTATGTTTATCAATTCTTCCCATCTGAGTATAAAAGGAGTATGTACTCAGTGTAGAAAATACAGACGAGAGAGAAAATAAAGCCCACTCCCAAGCCTCCATATGCCCAGAGACAAATGCTCTTTATGCTGTGCTGTTTCCTTCCAGTCTCTTTTCCTTCCAGTTTTTAAATAATCGGGGATACTAGAGAGAGGGTCACAGTTCCCAAACTGAGCGAAAAGGCACCCTGGGGCATCATAGCCAACTCGGAGGGGAGGTACCAGGTTAGTGTGGGCTTTAGGGTAGAGGGGCGGTGGGGGGGGGCTCACCGTGGGGCCTGTGCCACTGAGGGGGCACACCAGGAAGACTGGAGACGGCATCGTTTCATAGATATTGTCACCTGAAGCAGAGGACAAGGTGAAGAACCAGCTGGCTGCTGTTGACATTCCTTTATTTATTCAACTAATGTTTGCGCAAATCATTCTTTTTGCCCAGCCCTATGCTGGGGACACAAGGGTGACTGAGACAGCCCTGGCCCTGCACTGCTGGGGTTCACAGTCCAGTGGGGGGAGACAGACCTGTCCCTAGACAGGGATGACTCAGAGTGGGCAGGGCTGGAGTGGGGGAGCCCAGAGGGCTCCTGGAGGGGGATTAGGAAAGGCTTCCTGGAGGAGAGGGCATTTGAGACTGTAAGGAGAAGTGAGTTATGCAAAGGCAGGAGAGGGTGTATGCAGAGGTCTGGTGGTGAGAGGGCCTGCCATGTTCGAGGAACTATATGTTTGGTCTGTCTGGATCTATCTATCTATCTATCTATCTATCTATCTATCTATCTATCTATCTATCTATCATGTATCAATTTTGTTTGTTTGTTTGTTTTGTTTTGAGGGTGGGAATATTACATATGAGAGATGAAGCCAGATAAGACAGCGGGGACCAGTTTATGGGGAGCCTTGAGAGCCATGTTCAGGAGCCTGAACTTTGTCCTAAGGGCACTGGGGAGCCATGGAAGGTCTTTGAGCAAGAAGACAGGGTCAGAGTTTTAGAAGTCCCCTGCCAAGGGATGGGTGGAGGCTGGCCTGGAGGCAGGGAGACCAGAGAGGAGCTGGGTGTGGAGATCCGGGAGACAGAGCCTGAGGTGGGTCGAGACCTATTGGTGTCTGGGTGTGTAGAGGGGTGACTGGGTTTGGAGTGAACACCAATGACCTCAGAATCTGTGGGCTGAGTCTGGGAAGCCCCAGAGAGGTCTGGGGGGGGGGGCAAGTGATTGGGAGGCACCAAGTAGGAAAGAGCAAAGGGGTTTGTGGCCGGGGGGAGAAGAGAAAGGAGCTGCGAGGAGGGCTGCGTAGCAAGATGGGGCCTGCGGCTTACCAGCGTTATGACTGGGGCTCAGCTCTGGTTTTCCTGTGGTCTCCATCCTGGGGGCATATGAAAGGAATCAACATTAGTACCGTAAGATGCTCAGATGGGTGGAGAGAGACCCAGAGAAGCTGGAAAGCCCACTAGGCCCCGGAGAGAGGGACGGTCCCTACTTCGGAGTGCGCCAGGGCGAGACCTGTCCCTACCCCCACCTCTTCTCCCATAATCCCCAGCCACACAGCCCTCCTTCTGTTTCCCCAGCCTCCACCTATGCCGACGAGCAGCGTTTCTCTAATGTCACCATTTATACAGCTCATTTAAATGATCTGCTCCATCAACCTGTTTATTTCCTTAGTATGCCTCTTTAAATCGGCTCGCTTGAATACAATTATTTAAAAAGTACACTTGACATCACTACATAAAACTTTTTAATTCACTGAATAAATATTTACAGAACGTCAGCCATGAGCTGGGCACGGTTGAAGGCACTGGGAACACAGCTGGGAACAAGACTGACAAAGACCCCTGGCCTCTTGGAGTGGACTGGAGTGGGGGCGGGGCACTGAGCGAGAGAGAGAGAGAGAGAGAGAGAGAGAGAGAGAGAGAGAGAGAGAGAGAGAGAGATTTCAAATAAACAATAGACAGTAAATATCAGGGAATGAAACGCATTAAGAAGGAAAATGAAGATGGAAAGGGGCAGAGGGTGAAAGTTTCAAGTAGGTTGGTCTGGGGAAACTCACTGAAAAGGTGACATTTGAGTAAAGGCCTGAAACAGCCAAGGGGATCAGCTGTACAGAAATCACGGGAAGAGAGTTCCAGGCAGAGGAAACAGTCTGCGCAAAGGCCCTGAGGCAGGGGCAGGAATAGCAAAGGAACAGCAAGTGTGTCAGGGGCAGAGACTGTGAGGGGGAGAGTGGGAAGAGGTGAGGTCAGGGAGGTGGGGGGTGGGGCAGGGGATTGAGCTGGGTCTTGTGCCCACGGTGAGGACTATGACCTTGACTCTGAGGGAC